CGATCTCCGTTCGAGTCGATGGGGTCCTATATTGGCCATTCCCTGCGAATTCCGGTGTTCCCCAAGGTTCCATACTTTCGCCTAACCCCTTTCTTCTATTTATCAACGACCATTTGTCCAAAACACCTAATCCCATCCACTGCTTTGCCGACGATGCCACTCCCCATTGTTCTTTCTTATCCCACTATGAATATCGACCACGATCGCGATATCCTAAGGGCATCTCTTGAGTCTGATCTCGGACTCATCGCATGGTGTTTTTCCAACCATGTGTGTTTCAATGCTTCCCTCTCCTCTCCATCTCTCTTAAACGTGTCCCTGATTCTCCTCAATTGACTTTTGACTCTCTGCCCCTTCGTTTTACAAATTCTCCCTCCCTCCTAGGTTTATACATAAATTCTTCTTTCTGTTGGTCCACCTTTATTTCTACACTTGCATTTGGGTTGAGCGCAAAGTCGATTTTCTATTCCACGCAAACAGTTTCTTTACACCCAAGCATCTCCTTTTACACAAAGTTCAAATCCGCCCTCTTCTCCAATACTGCTTCATATTCCGCTCGTTCTCTCCTCGACCGTGTTTAACGTAAGGCCATCCGGCTGATCGACGAACCGTCTTTAACTTCCAACATGCAGTCGCTTTCCCATCGCCGGGCAGTTGCTTCGTTATCTCTTTCCCGTCGTTACTATTTTGTGTTTTGCTCTTCTGAACTCGCTTCAACTGTTCCTATCTCGTGGACCTTTTCTCGTCCATCTCGTTCTCAGTCGGGTAGTCATCCTTAGCAGGTTTCTATCCCCAGATGTCGGACTTCTATCCTTCAATCTTTTGTTCTCTCTAGGACTGCTAAACTATGGAACCGTCTTCCTACCTCCGTACTTCCAAACACATACAATCTTACACTTTTCAAAAGCAGGATTAACAAAATGATTCTCACTTGAATATCCCCACGTCTTCCCTCTTACAGTATGTTACTGATCATGGAGTTTACTCCTTTTGTTATACATCATTTCGAGCGTAATGAAAAAATCGTCCCTGCGCGCTGCAGACTCAAAAAGTAGTTTACGTCCTCCAAAGGGCTAAACTACGTAAGCACCGATTATTAGGTTTCGCTAGCTAGGGCATGTATT